GATTACTGATAATGTGGATAAGGAAAGAAAGGATTACTGATAATGTGGATAAGGAAAGGAAAGGATTACTGATAATGTGGATAAGGAAAGGAAAGATTACTGATAATGTGGATAAGGAAAGGAAAGATTACTGATAATGTGGATAAGGAAAGGAAGATTACTGATAATGTGGACAAGAAAAGGAACAGTTACTGATAATGTGGACAAGGAAAGGAATGATTACTAATAATGTGGACAAGAAAAGGAACAGTTACTGATAATGTGGACAAGAAAAGGAACAGTTACTGATAATGTGGACAAGAAAAGGAACAGTTACTGATAATGTGGACAAGAAAAGGAACAGTTACTGATAATGTGGACAAGAAAAGGAACAGTTACTGATAATGTGGACAAGGAAAGGAAAGATTACTGATAATGTGGATAAGGAAAGGAATGATTACTGATTATGTGGACAAGAAAAGGAATGACTACTGATAATGTGGATAAGGAAAGGAAAGATTACTGATAATGTGGATAAGGAAAGGAATGATTACTGATTATGTGGACAAGGAAAGGAATGACTACTGATAATGTGGATAAGGAAAGGAATGATTACTAATAATGTGGACAAGGAAAATGGATACTGTTTTTTTATAATAATCCTCCATGGAACTATATTCTGCATTTGCACGTTGGGCTTGTCATTGACCACTTCATGTCATGCTAACATTTATATTAAATTTATTTGCAATATTACTGCTATGCTTGAATATAAAATGTGAGTAATCATCTGTATTCACTCTTAGTGAAGTCAGCTCTTTACATCATTGTTCTATTAGGGAAACACCAAAAGCAATGTTTTGGCTTGCACATTGCAAATTTACAGAAGCTTCTTTCAAGTAGTAAATGGAATGTTGTAAAGCTGTTAAACAAAAAATGAATTCAAAGGATTTTAGTAGTTTTAGATAAACCATCGATTTTTTTAATCTTTAGCAGCTCAATTGTTGTTAAACATTTCAAAATTATCATCTCCATACATAATAACTTCACACATGTGAAGTAAGAATGGATGACATAAATAGAACCAAATTCAACCTTCAATATTCTCAGTCCAGTGTGTAATGCACACATTGAGTAGTGGAAGATGTGATGAAGCTGTGCCTTGCTGGATGCCCTTTTGATAGATTGCCTTTAATAGTTCCCCACATTTAGGTGAGGATTTAATCCAGATAGGTATTCTTTTAACATGATCAATATAATTTTATATTGGTAGAACTGCACATCAATTTATAATAGCAAGATTAAATGAGTGACCCCTGCAATGAGTGTACAAGGTCTTGCTTTACATATCTCAGATTTGTTTTTGGACATGATCTTTCACCAGCCATGATGGGTGCTCTTTCATATCCTTGACCACATAATTCATTTAAAGATAATCCAACATCAGTCAATTATAGCTTAACAAAGCCAATAAATTACTCCCTAATTTCACAGTTGCCCATCTATAAACCGGAGACATGTTGGTAATGTTCCACATTGTGAGAAGACTCTTCATCAGCAAGAACAGAGTAGAATCCAGCCTTTTGTTTTTACTTCATCAGTAATTATTACTCGAATTACATTATATCCTATAACATTGATGTTATTTTGTGAGTGGGGAGATAAATATGTTGCATTTTTTTTTGCCTTGGGATGATACTAATGAGTTCTCAGTATTTCATCATTTTCTGTATAATGTTTAGCACGATATGAAAACTGCTAGGGTTTTTAGAAACATTTACATCTTTAGCAATCGATGTGTTCGAAGGAAAACTAAGTTTGATTATAAACAAGATTACGACACTTATGATAAACAACATTGTTTATTGACAAAAAGGGGACATGGATAAACGTTTCGG